AACAAAGACCTATCTTCATTTAGAGATAGAATGATTAAACTCTTGGGAGGCCAACAGAGTTCCAGTGCATTTCATTCATTCATTCATTCAATCAACAAACATCCATTTAACTACAACTGCATGCCAGATTCTGGAGAGGCTCTAGAGCCACATAGATAACAGTCTTTTCCTTCAAGACACTGTGGTCTGGGAAAGAATTCTATCAATTGAGGGGCGCCTGGGTGGCTCAGTCAGTTAAGCCTCCGACTTCGGCCCAGGTCATGATCTCATGGTTTGCGGGTTCGAGCCCTGAGTGGGGCTCTGTGCTGACAGCTCAGAGACTGGAGCCTGCTTCGGGTTCTGTGTCTCCCTCTCTCTCTGCCCCTCCCCCCTCACGCTCTCCTTCAATAATAAATAAACATAAAAAAAAAAATAAAAAAAAAAAGAATTCTATCAATTGATCTAGCAATTATAATAAAGTGTAACTGATGCTGTCATAGGGAAAAAGGACTATGCTACAGAGCTTGGCATTGTGAGAATTCTGAACATATTCCCATGTGGCTGGGGTTCATCTGCAAAGGAGGGAGTGGCATGAAATGAAGCCCAGAGGGGCTGGGTCATAAATGATATTTGCCCTTATCATGAAGGGTTTGAAGCAGAATCAAACCCCTCTTGTATTCCAGGAAAAACTCTCTTGGCATCTTCTCTTACTCTTGATGACCATGGATGCTGTTCCTCAAATGCTCAGAGCAACTTAATACAGGAACAATTACCTTTCTTGCTTCCTGACTCCAAATCTTATCCCCGAAAACCTCTAATCACTCATGTATGGGTAACATGCAAATACAGGGTCCCATGAATGCCTAATGGGGCAATCCTTGACCAACTGGGAATAGGAAATGATGAGTAAGTGCTTCCCTCTTTCTTCCCCCAGGACAGTTCTGAGATGTATTTATTTCATAAGACTACTCAGAAGGTCCTGTAGAACAGCGCATCTAGCTTCTCATGGGATGGTTGACTCTATTATGCATTCTTGTACTGGTTTTCCCTCTTTCTCTTTTCCATTCTTTCTTTTCCTCACTCCTCCTGCCTAGGATCACATTACCATATATACTGTCTTCACATTAAGTTTGGTCTCTGCTTTCTGAGGAAACCAGGCTAAGACAAGCAGGCAATGACATAAACATACATAATTTTTATAAATTATCTATATTACATACAGATATTAGATATTGATAATAATCAAATAATACACACACACACACACACACACACACACACACACACACACACAATTAGAATGCTAACCCTAGAGAACACATTAGAGGATGTTAATATAGGAGACAACAACCCGGTAGAAGTTTTTATAGGGAGGAGAGATATGTGAGGTTGGAGAGGATTTTTAAAGGAAGGAAAGGCTAAGCGGGCAGATGGCACAATGCAAAGATGACATTCTTCTGAGACTAATCACAGACAAAACCCGGCTGTTTATTTTACAGGGATGGTTGTAGGTTAAGTTTCCATAATGAGGAAAGCGATTATCCATTCCATGTTAGATTATGGCCATGAGGACGATTTGGAGTTGATCAAGCTAGTGCCCACATCTTTAAGAACTTTACAGTCTTCCTAAAATAATCCTACTCAAACATTTATTTAGTTTGCTATGCCATAAACACTGTATATAAAATTAAAATATAGCTCTGAAATTGTATTTTGTCCTTTTAGGTAATACACATTCTAAAATCTTTGAATTGGTGTGATACAAATAATTATGTACTCCAGTACATACTATGCTTGTTATAACTACAACATAATGAAATTAAGAAGTATTTCTAGAATGACCTCTTATCTAAGACTTGTATTGTGCTTTATACAGCTCCAATGTATCTATAATATTTTTATACTATATAATCTAGAATCATCTACTTTAGGCCAGAGTAGTGAAGGAAATGCCAGAATCAAATAAAAAACAGTCTAAATCTTAGAATTCTCTAAGGCCATGCAATCAAGCAATCTTTCTCCTCTTCCTCCCTTCCTTATTCTTTCCTTCTTTCTTTCTTTCTTTTCTTTTTTTCTTTCTTTCTTTCTTTCTTTCTTTCTTTCTTTCTTTCTTTCTTTCTTTCTTTCTTTCTTTCTCTCTTTCTTTCCCTTCCTTCCTTCCTTCCTTCCTTCCTTCCTTCCTTCCTTCCTTCCTTCCTTCCTTCCTTCTTTCTTTCTTGTCCAGTGCTATTGTCTTTCAATGACTTCCACATCCAATTTGATTTATTACCTTACCTGGGCAAATACTAATATTGGAATGGTAGGGAAGCTACAATGATCTCTATAAGGAATACAAGTTATATACAATGTATATAGATATTGATATCTATAAGGGAACTCTCTTTTTGTAAAGAGACCACCTTGGATTCTCTGTCCAGGAGTTGTTATTCTCTAAGCCTGATCAAAGAAAACCTACTGTGCATGGTGCTTTGGCCTCTGAATGATAATAGACTCTAACCACACCAAGTTCATGCATAGGAAATAAATTTAATGGCTGAGCCAGTTTACTACTTAGCCTTTTCCCACTATCTTCTTTTCTACCATCTCCTTTTTATTGGATGCTTCAACCTCATTAGCATTTCAGGAAAAAACTGGATCCTGTCCATCATTTTTGTTGTTGCTTCCCTCTTCCTGGCAGGCAGAGCTTAAAGTTTCAGTTGAGGAAGCAGGGAGGGATACAACACATTCAGAGTTTATGAAAGACCTTATTTACCATCAAAGTGAAGGTTTCCAGATCCTCTGGCCCTGTTTTCTTATGCTCTTAGGTCTTTGATAAGGAATTAAGAACTCCTGCCAGGGCTACAGAAGACACTGAGAGCTGCCTGGCAGAAGGCACTATATAGTGTTCTGAAGCTGTTCATTAATTACAAATGATGTTGAGGAACAGAAGAATGAGCAGAAACTGTTAATATCATAATAATTTCTACATAGGCACTTCTGAGAGACACCTGAATCTGCACACTTGAATATTTTTCTGCTAGCTTCCTTGCACTTTTTTTGTTTTTAGCAAAGCATGCCTTGCAGTTTTCCTTTTAATACATCACTTATATTTGTAACACTCTCCTTCACTCAATTATAATTCCTTAGAATGGTGGCTCTCAAATATTACTGTGCCTAAGAATAATCTGAAGACCTTGTCAAGAGAATTTGGAGCTTACACCTCTGAGATTCTCATTTAATAAATTTAGGATGGGGCCCAGAAATGTTTAACAAGACCTCAGTGTAATGGTCTGTGAACTACCTTGAGAAATATTTGCTTAGAGATCAAGGTCTCTGGAATCCTCAGGCCCTAGTGCCTTGCAATACACACAGAGGTACTCAGTATGTGTTTATAGAATGGAGGCAAATGCTGTGGGTATTTAAAACTCCACTAGTGATTCAAACTCATTTTATCATTCTCAGAGGTGAGACTGAAGCTCTAATGGGTTGTAGACAGCCCATTTTTTTTTTATAGGATAATTGCATCAACAGTTCTGAAATTGGGGGCCATTGGTAAGAAATGTTATTTTATCTAGGACAACAGCTGATGGAAAGCCTGATTTATTTACTTTTTACACGAGAGAAGGGTACAGACGTAAGGAGGAGGAAATGCATTCATTCCTTGCTGCCTGTAGCACAATGTAAAAAGCCTCAATCATGTTTGATTTCCCCATTCATCACTGGATGTGCGTTTCCTTTGTCTTCCGCTTGTTTCTTTTGTTTATTGTTTACTAGGGGTTGTGAGGTCTGCCCTTTAATGTGCCTTGTCCTTTGTTCTTTTGTCATAAGGTGTGAAGCCATTTACTTCTTTGTCCTTTGCTCACAGCCACCTCTAGTTAGCCATCGACAAAACAAAGGAAAATCATATCTTGCCCATCAGCTCCTCACACATCATTCAAAAGCTGTGCTCTTAATGAAAGATGAAAATGACCATCCCTCTTTGCTCTTTGAGACATACAGTGAAACCATGTGCTGAAAAGGTGTGATCTGGCAAACTGGAAATTATTTTAATGTAAGTAATGTGGAAAGCATCTTCATTTTTCAGAGTTGGACTAATGCTTTCAACTATTTGGAAAAGATTAACAGGCTATTTTCTTGCATCCAAATGATTTGCTCTTCCATTTCTTTAAATGTTATTAGTGTGGACTGTTTCAAGTTCTGAGTAGGAAAGAATGACACTGAAAATTTAACGTGGTTATTATCGAGACAAAAATATACATGGATTGTTTTGCATGGAATTGTAAAAACTCAGTGCTCATTAGCTCCTGACTCCGTTTCCAAGTGAGAAAAGGTAACAAGCATTAACCATCACAATCAGGACAGGCTCTGTGTTTCTCTCCCTTTGCAAATCCTAAGAATGTATCTGTATCCATATACCTATAACTGTATCTATGTATCTTTTGATAACTATTCAATAATAGCTTTGTTCATTTAGTGACACTGTCTTAAATCATAGCAGCTCTTAGAAACAAAACAGGCACACATATTCTCGCCTGTGATTCAATTTACATACTATCTTGATATTGAAAAACAGTTATAGACATGCAAAGCATCTCCCTCCAAAGCACCACACTGCAGTGGTGAAGCTTATTGTATCTGGAGTTTATGGTTTGGGCCAGGCTGTCACTTTCCCATAGTGTCTTCATTTATTATGCTAATTGACTTTCCAAGTGCAGGCGGGAGGGTATCTGCCCTGTGAATTATTCTCAGTTGGGGGCTTTTAAAAGCAAACCTATTTTGTGCCTAAACAAAACCAAAAATCAATGTGTTTCTTTTCAAAGACGGGAGGGTCAATACCATGGTTGTTTTGTTCCCATCCAGTTATGTAACCGTGGGGACTTGTTTCTTTGCTTTCAGGATTTGTACAAAACACATTAAAGCTAAACAATAGGCGGGAGTCATAGGAGCAACCCTCGAGCTGTGTCTTGCAGTACGTCCTCCTAGGTTTGGGAATCTCCAATTAGTTCCATCTCAAGTGCTGACTGTGTGTGTGTGTGTGTGTGTGTGTGTGTGTGTGTGTGTGTGTTTAGTTAGCTGGCACGCAACACACTTCCCCAGGGTTGTTTCCTTTTTCCTGAGATTTGGCGAAGGGTAAAGGGTCGGAGTCACATGGATACAAAGCATTTGATTAATGTCCAAGTCACCGCTGTGGCTGCCGGAGCCGCCTCCCCTCCAGCCCGGGCCGCGTGAGGCCGGAGCCGTGGGGCCGGGCGCGCAGGTCCCGGACCGGCGCCCCCTCTCCCGGGAGTTGTCTCCTCAAAGCCTCGCGCCTCCCGCGCCGGAGTTCCGGCGGGCGCCCTCCCCTCTCCTACCACCCCAGACTCTCCCCAGCATGTAAAGTCGCCCGTACCTCCTCGGACTTCTCGGAGGCGCAGCAACTTTTCCTTTCTGGCCGCGCGGCGCCGGACACCAGCCGGCGCGCGGGGCAGCGCGCAGCGCAGCAGCCCCGCAGCCCCCGCGTCCCGCCGCCCACCATGAGCGACGAGAGCCGCGGGGACGGCCGCGCGGAGAGCGCCAAGGACCTGGAGAAACAGCTTCGCCTGCGCGTGTGCGTGCTCAGCGAGCTGCAGAAGACCGAGCGGGACTATGTGGGCACGCTGGAGTTCCTGGTGTCGGTGAGTGTGTCCCCGCGCGGCGACGCGGGAGGCGGCGGGCGGAGCGGGGCGCGGACCCCGAGGAGGCGGCGGGAAGCGGGCGCGGCATTGTCTGCGGGGGTCGGGGCACGGGTCCCGGCATCGCGGGAACCACGAGCCCGCGCGCCGACGCCGCGCTCGTGGGCGCGAGGACCCCCGCGGCGATTGTTTCACGCCTGGACACGCGCTGAGTTCCTAGGGCCTTGGAGAGCCGCGGGTTTGAAAAGTTAGCTCCAGTGGGAGAACCTCTTGTGCAGGGGGTCCCTGCTGCCCCATCTTTCCTCTTTCTTCTTTACCCCCGTCCCGGCCCGCATTTTTTAATCCCCCCCCCCCCCCCCAATCCTCTTCCTCTCCTGGGATTTTATTTTAAGGCTTTGGCTTGGTGATTCGAGTCAGTCTGCTACATTCAGGTACATTTAGTTAAAAAAATAACGAATCCTTGATTCTTTTGGAACTTGAGTTCCTTCTTCAGGTTACATGGCAACCAAGTCCCTTCAGTTATGATCATCTTTGAAACATGGGATTCTGGTGGGGGGTACAGAGAGAGCAGCGGGGTTATGATCTCTAGCAGCTGTTGGATATTAAAGCCACATGTGGTGCTCACCCCATTCTACCTCTACAGTCTTCTACCCCCATCCCCCACCCTGGGTTTAAATTTGCTCCCTGCTCAGCTCCTGGGTTCCCTGTTCACACGGAGCCCAGGAGAGCTGTTATCATAAAAACTTGTGTCAAATGGCTTCAAGATTTCATAGAACTGGCAGGAACTTTGTTTCAAAGTTTCAGCTTGTGGCATTGGAAGCCTGTTCTGGAAACGTTTCATTCATTTTAGAGCCAGAAGGGGCAAAATTGAGTGAAAGAAACTTTTGAGACATCACTCAAAAGTTGAATTTTCCTGTTCACTGTTGCAAAGACAAAGCATTTGAGGATTGGCTTCTCTCCACCCAGATGCCTGGGAGAGCATCATTTAAAGACCTGAGAGACTTTAGCCTTTGCAGCCTCACTCAAATCTTCAAACCTTCTGCTCCTTTTACCTCCCTGTTCCATACCCGCCCTGGTCCCAAGGGAAGTGTTTCAAAGGCCAAACTTCCTGCTTAGGGTTTAGTAGGATGTAAACTTTCTGCTTATAATTATGGTAGAGGAATTTACTTCTTTGCTATAGCAAGGAGAGAACAGTATCTCAAGGGATGTAAGATGCACAGGTTGACTTCTGTATGACTTCTCAAATTAAAATCAGTGTCCTTGAGCCCCCAGGGGCCACATTCTTTGGAAAGGCTGGATATTTGAGAATATATGGGTAATCAGTGATAACTGGATTCCCATGCACTTCCATGAAGCTAGGTAAAAAAAAAAAAAGCATATTTTTAAGGAGGTGACTTTTTTTTTACAAAGTTATTACAATATTATTGACTATTTCCTCTATGCTGTACTTTTCCATGACTTACTTATTTTATAACTAGAAGTGTGTACCCCTTAATTCTCTTTACCTGTTTCTTTTTTTTTTTTAATTTTTTTTTTCAACGTTTTTATTTATTTATGGGACAGACAGAGACAGAGCATGAACGGGGGAGGGGCAGAGAGAGAGGGAGACACAGAATCGGAAACAGGCTCCAGGCTCCGAGCCATCCGCCCAGAGCCCGACGCGGGGCTCGAACTCACAGACCGCGAGATCGTGACCTGGCTGAAGTCGGACGCTTAACCGACTGCGCCACCCAGGCGCCCCTCTCTTTACCTGTTTCACCTGTCCCCCCGACTTCCCTCCCCTCTGGCAATTACTAGATTGTTCTCTGTATTTATGACTCTATCCCTTTTTGCTGTTGTTTGTTTCCTTGTTTGTCTTGTTCTTTTTGATTCCACTGTAAATGAAATTACACATTGTCTTTCTGTCTGACTTATTTCACTTAACATAATACTCTTTAGGTCTATGCATGTTGTCACAAATGGCCAGGTTTCTTTTTTCTTTTTCTTTTCTTTTCTTTTCTTTTTTTTTTTTTTTGGTGGCTGAGTAATATTCCGTTGTGTATACCACATCTTCTATATCCATTCATCTATAGATGGACACAAGTTGCTTTCCTATCTTGTCTATTGTAAATAGCACTGCAACAAACATAAGTGTGCATATGTCTTTTTGAATTAGTGTTTTTGTTTTTCCTGGGCAAATACCCAGAAGTGGGCTTACTGGATCATATGGTACTTCTATTTTTAGTCTTTTGAAGAACTTCCATACTGTTTTCCATAGTGGCTGCACCAATTTGCATTCCCACCGACAGTGCATGGGAGTTCTCTTTTCCCCAAGCCTTTGCCCTCCCTTTTAATTTCTTGTTTTTTGACACTAGCCATTCTGACTAGTGTGAAGTGGAGAGTTGACTTTTAATAGCTTCAGATTTGCTTTTCATGAAACTTTATTGGTGACAAAGTCCTTTGGCTTTTGAAAAATCTTAGTCACTTCTTAAATTCCGTTAGTCACTCCTTTTTGGAGGCATATGAAAAAAGTACTGTGCAGAGTCCTAATTTATAGAAACGGACAGCTAACCCAACCTATATTAAAAAACCAATTTATTATTGATCTTTATTTATCATATCAGGTTTTCTTCTAATCTTAACACCTGATTATTAAAATTGAAAACTTACTGCTATATTGAGTTGGGTAAGAAGTTGTGGGAGGTATGAATAAATTGTATGTACCTATTTACAAGTCATTTAATGATTTCATTCTTCTTATTTCATTCGGAAATTAGGGACTCTTCCACTTTTATTTTTCTTTGTCCATTATTTGTGCACAAACATGCAGTGTTTGTGCACATACCTGTTCACACACACGCAAACACACTCATTGGCCTGAATAGCATCCTAAACAAAAGTTTACCCTGACTTCCTTTTGGACAAAACCATCAAAACCTGAGATGTACTTATAATACACTTTTTAGATTTTCTTTTTTGAGTATTTCTTTTTTGAGTTTTATTTATAGCAACGCTAAATACCCATGTATTTTACTTGGTCACCTTCAGTTAATGTAGTCAATTTAGTTCTCATTTTAGCCTAACCTGATAATGTGCCAAGAATTTTAAAAATACTCAAACCCTTTGGCCTGGCAATTCCTCTTCTGGGAGTCCATCCTGAAGGACTGATAAGAAATGTAGATACACAGGGGCACCTCAGTGGCTCAAAGTCAGTTAAGCATCTGACTTTGGCTCAGGTCATGATCTCACTATTCTTAAGCTCAAGCCATGCATCTGGCTGGCTGTTGTCGGCATAGAACCCTCTGGCTTCCGACCTGCTGTCCTCCTCTCTCTCTGCCCCTCCCCTGCTCCTTGTCTCTTCTCTCTCTCTCTCAAAATAAGTAAACTTAAAAAAAAGAAATGCAGAAAATAATAAAAGTCATTAAAAATAGCTGCAGTATTAAATAAATGCAGTGTTACGTTTGTTGAAAAAATTGATAGTGCATTTCTACATCAAATGTAAGTATTTGTCAGATTAGTCATTGTTTTAGATTTCTGTCATTGTTTCAGCCATTAACATGGATGAAGGGTACTCTTATCTTTATTATGAAGAGATAGAGAGCATATTGTTAGTTTTTCCAAGAACATATTTTTACTTACAGGTCCATAAATAATCAAACAAAATGATATCTTTTCCTCTTGGTTAAATGATCATATGAGCTGAAGGGGAAAACGTTTCTTACTCTATGAAAGTTTTATGCTTTTATACTTCTTTTGTACCTCTGATCCCTCTCTCTTCTCATTTCCAGCTCTTTGCCTTTTTAACTTCTTGAGGAGAGAACAACTTTCCCCGCTCCCACCCTAGATAGCTGTCTCCTAGAGTGGCTCACTCCTTCCATGGACTCTCTGGTTTCTCTTGCTCCTTGGTAGCCCTTACATCCTTTTGCATTCCTGCAGGGCCTTCAGGGCTCCCTTCCTTCAGGAAACTGCCATGATCGTATCCCTTCCCTCCCCACCAAGCTAGAGGACTCACTGCTTTGTACCACTCTTCCCTGTAGTTACTTCTTGTCTCTCACCAAAGGGAAGCTTATGCATGTATTTGTTTACCTTTGTCTCATTCTACTAGAATGTAAACTTCTTGAGCACAGGCCCATATTTTACTTGTCTTTTTCCCTAGAATTTTGTGCAGTGCTTGTGACATTGCAGGTACTCAGTAAATACTTGCTGAATGACTGGATGAATGAATGAATCAATGACCCATCCTCTAACCTCCCACCCCATTCTTTTTTTAAAAATGTTTATTTATTTATTTGGAGAGAAAGAGAGAGAGAGAGCACGAGTGCACGAGACAGTGAACGGAGGGACACAGAGAGAGAATCCCAAGCAGGCTCCACATTCAGCACAGAGCCTGACGCAGGGCTCGATCCCACGAACCACGAGATCCTGACCCGAGCCAAAATTGAAAGTTGGACGCTCTACTGACTGAGCCACACAGGTGCCCCTCCCACCCCATTCTGAAGGACAGTTCATCATCCTTCAAATTTTCAGTTTTCTTTTATTTGGTTGGTATAGATAGTAGAAATTATTTAAATTTCACTCAGGGACATAGGAATTTATGTAACAAAAAGTTTTAAATTAAACATGTAGTACCTGCATTTAAAACAGAAACAGTGTTTAAATCAGGCATTGTGGTATTAAAGACTTTGTAACGCACCATTATGCCAATTAATTGTATTCTAAATTTTCAGTTGATATCCTGGGTAGGTTGTATTATCTGGATTAGTTATTTTTAGGTCATAGATAAAATGCAGGGAGTGCCCAAATTCGCTTGAATGCATGTTCTTGTTTTGCTTGGGAGATATAATTTTGTGCTTTATTAGAAGTAACACATTTTGTCAAAAGACGTGATTTTATGGACCGAATACCCAGTATTTAACGTTCCAAGCCTGGACAATAGTGGGTTGCAACTGGTTTCCTGTTTGCAGTCCTCCTAGGGCATACCAAGATCAGGATGGCTTCTTAGACCCATTCGAGTGGACAGGAAA